TTACCTTTGATAATTTGTCGAAAATAACTTTTTCACTTTCTTTTAAAAAAACTTGCACAATGCACTTTAAAAAATATTGAATAACTAATTACTAATTAATTTTATGCGCTTTTACAACGTTTTTATAAGGTTGCTTTCTTGTGTGTCTGTCTGTCCGTCCGGTTAGAATCTTTGAAGCGATATTTAACCCACATCCCGACCAGCTAGAGCTCTGAAACTTTCAAGATAGCTCAGAACCCGATGACAATTTAATTTAAAACCATTTCCAAGCTTCTTCAACCAATATTTCTCAAAATTTCAACAAAATTCAATTTTATATGGAGAAAAAACAAGCACAAGGTCAGCGCTAATAATTAAAGAAGCACGCCAAACTTTAGTTTAGCGTAAATAAAAGAAATCGTTAAGAAAAGTAATTTAAAATAATATACAGTAAAAAGAATAAATCTAAAAAGTATAAAATAATAAAAACAATAAAAATAAATTTTTCTACAAACAACGTTTTTCTAGTGTCCTAAAAAGTAGAAAATAATGTTTCTTTGAGCTTGTCAGAATGTCTGGTTATATTCCTCTTATCATGATGACAGATTTTATAACAAATTTGATACGCGTATTACGAAAAACTTTTAATATACCTTTAAAAAATGATACATATTTGTATTTAAAAAAAATTCCCGGGAATTTCTCGAAAAAAATACGGGAATGGGAATTGACCAGCGAGATTCCTGGGAATTTCTGTTTCCGGAATTCCTTTGAAGAAGGGAATTCCGGAAACGGTAATTCCGTTTATAAATAAATTAAAAGACTCAAGATTAATTTTTCTTTTTTTAATTTAATGAAGTTCTTCATTATTTCTGTTCACAAAACTGTGTAATTTTTTACACCGCTGCAGCAGTGTGATTACATTGTATTAATGTATTGACCATGCTCAATTTTCAACATCTGCTGTTTTAATAAGATTTAACAACGCTTAAACATGGGTAAAATAGTTCTTGCATGATACTCAATGAAGTTTTTTTTTAGAACTTAAAAAAATTTATTTAAATTTATGTTATTATAGTTCATCTAAATGAAATAAAAAGTAAAATAAAAATTCTTAGTAAAATAAGAAATAGAGGCAAAGAAAAATTCTAAGCTAACAAAAACTAGGAAGACACTATCATCTATACAGTTATTAAGTGTTGAAGAAATAATCGTGTATTATCTTTATCTACAACAGCCCAAACTATCTGTTTCTATTTATAACTTAGTTTGTTGTTCATATAAAGGTGCCATATTTACAAACCAAATTATCCAGAAACAGAAAAGAACTGCTGCATTATATCTGAGCTGAAGACAGAACTTGTAACATACAATGCATTTTACGTTCTAATTAATATTAATTTTAGGAAAGTCTAATTAATAATTATTTTAGGAAAGAAGTTGAAACTCTACTAAAGAAATATAAAAAGCTGCAATCCCTTAAAAACAGATTGAAACCATGAGCAATCAAGGTTAGAGAGACCTTTTTAATAGAATCTAAAAAAGTATTTTGGTTGGGACATGACATAAAAATTATGTTTGATGAAATAAAAATAAATTGAAAAAGAAAAAAAAACTAAATGCATGGACATTATGTTTTTGAAACTGCATAACGAAAAAAGACATGGTTGTTTAGGCTATTTTAGTATTAGCTTTAAAAAAGGCGCTGAGAAATCTACTAAAAAAAAAAATAAAATAAAAAAAAATCTATAAGGGAATTCTCAGAAAAAGAAGACTTACATATATCTTATAGCTCAAAAAGTGATTTCACTGATTATTTAAGCTCAGAATGCAATGACTGTTAATAGTGAGCTAAATGATAATACCCGCAAAGAAGAACAAAGTATAATATTGCCTAAAGATATTCTAAAGTGTACAGTGATAACTGCAATAGTAGAGGGACTTTCTGTCCACCAGCACACTGCTATCATAAGCAGTGTTATAGCTATCTCAGGAGGAGAAATAAATGGTTTTATCTAAATCATCATCACATTTCAGCCACAAAAGAAAGATAAGCTGTACTAGTGAAAGTGATTTGGAAAAGCTACTAGGCATTCCTCATATTGAATCAGGTGCTGAAGAAATGCAGTTCAAAGTAGTTTACAATCTAATAGAATCTTTTGACTTCAGCTATCATATACAGTGTATTTTGATACTACTGCTCCCAACACTGAAAAGCACAACGGATATTATTATATAATTTTAGAATAGTTGGTTACCTCTATAATTGCAGAATAGTTGGTTACCTCTATACTTGCAGGAGCAATATTTTAAGTTTTAGTTGGCATGGACAAACAGCATACGTTTTTATATAAACAGCCCGCAATTGTTTACACAATTTATCAATTTCGCGGATTTTTAACGTTTTTTGTCAAAAATTTATAAACATTTTTATGATTTTAAAAAGTTTAATTTTTTAACAATAATTTTTTTACTTTGTCTAACCTCCAGAAGTTCTAAATACCATGAATGGTATTTACTAACATATATCAAACTATTGAAAAAAAAAATCAGACTAAGGGAACAACTTATCCTGTGTTTAATGCTTTCATTAAAACGAACTCACAAAGCCTCACAAAACCAGGTAATGACAAAAAAACTCAGGATACTGGAAATGAAAAGCAAAAGGACACTGATAACGATAAGAAAAACCATGGAGATGACTAGTTCCAATGCCATTAATCAGAAAGCTTTTAGTTTATAAAAAATGTATAACTAGCAGTTATAAAGTAAGTTAAAAATATTTACAAAAGTTCTGTGAACCTCCCTACCCTTAGTCAATTTTTGTTCTACCGACCGTTCAAACAAACTTAGCATCTACAGACCACCAATATATAAAAAAGAATCCAACGTAAGCTAATTTACATTGTTTAAACGATGTTTCAAAACATATGTTAAGTTTGATAATTTATGTATTTTTTTGTTTCATCTAAATAAAGATTTTTCAGATTAAATTAAAATATTTTTAAATTAAAAAAATTTTTGAATTTCATTTGAAAACTACTAACCGTATTTAGTAGTTTTAAGATTTTTTCAGTAACACTAATTTCGTCGTCAGTAACACTAATTTCGTCGTCAGTAACACTAATTTTGTCGTCAGTAGCCCCGGATACTTAAGAAATAAAATAGATTGTACACATGCACAAACAGAAAACAAAGTGTCAAGAGACTTTATTAAAAGTATAAACCTTTATTTATTGAATTTGAAACACAAAAATTATAATTATTGCGCACCTTAGTAATATACAGAACATAAAAGAAAAAATGTTAGAAAAAAGGCATTTCCAAATTGAAGGGTGGGCGCGAACAGATAGTTTAACCATAATTTTACTTCTTTTTCACCTGTGTGACACAAATATAATATATAATTAACTAGCATTAAAATTTTCTTAACACAATTGCTTTTGAAAATTGTCTCTGATATATAAGGAATGGGAATGAAAATGTCATCATTTAAACATTGGCTTTTTACTAATGAAAATAAACACTTTCTTTAAATGTTGGGTCTTTTTATTAAAATTAAATGAATTACTGTTATGGATTTGTGTATTATATTAAATCCATTTATACAAAAAAGTTGCCTATTTTTAATGTGTAATTGGATTAAATTGTCCGTAACCACCCTCTAAGCATGTGTCCGTCATCAACTAATCATACCTCATTCACAAATATTAGTTTTAAAACAAGTGAATTAAAGTATTAAACAGATTCTTTTTTAAATAAATATTTTAAATAAAAATGTTTAATCAATAAAAAGATATTAGTTTACATATATATTAGATATATTACTATGTGAATCAAATATGATGATACAACGCTCTTATGGTGGCGGGAAACAATATCTTGCACTCCCAGCCATTCGCTTCAGCATTATGATATTTTGCACATGCCATAATTTCACTCAAATAATGTTTTTATAGTATTTAAAACCACACAACTTCTTTAGTTTAAGTTGTACATGAAGTGTTCGGAGTTACCCACTGTAAGGGGCTCTCCCTTAAAGGGACATTTCCTTAATTTTGGATAAACTGTAGATATATTTCACATCTATCGTTATGAAAATCTATCTACACTGTATGCAGAATATCTAAAAATACAATATGCATCATTTTTTTTAAGAGTATGCAACTAAATTGCCAAGATGAAATTTCTAGGTAGGAATGATTACGGTACCTTTTTTTGGGGACTGTGATAAATAACTTTCAGACATGGAGCGAACTACAAACTTGAGTATTCTTATATCAAATGAATGTTTTGCAAAAAAAGTGCAGCCAAGAAAAAAAATAAATTAATGTAAGTGATAAACCTTAACTGCTGTGATTGGACCCTGGGAACAACAATAATGCTAAAACTTGTGCCTTAAAACCTATTTGTGAGGGCAATATTTTACTGAGTTTTAAACTATTACTATTTCAAACTAAATTTATACTCATCAATAGATTTCAAAATTCATACAACAATATTTTGTGTTTGAAAGTTATTACCATGTAAAGTTTCAATTCTCTGCTAAAACATTTTTTTACAAAACATTCTCATTTAATATAAGCATACCCAAGTTTGAAAGTTACCCTATGTCTGAATGTATGTATATCGGTTAAGGTTAGTTAATACTTTGACTTACAATAGTCTAAAATTCAAAATTTAATTTTTTAATGTAAATTTTTATATGTAAATGAAATATTAGAATTATTTTAATCACAAAATATTACTGATCAATTGGATGTTATGATGTTATGTTATGACATATGACACTGATGTTATGACACTGAAAAAATAAACAAGTCACATGATCTGCCAGAATAAAAGGTTTAATAACAGCTAACTAAAGGTTACAATGAATTGGTTTCCATTTTTTGCAAAAACTGAAAGTGTATTGAGAATGTGAACTTTGGGTAATCTTCAAAATTTCATATTTGACAGTTTTTTCTTTTTTAGTTTATTCCATATATTTTTATATTAAGTATATTCCATATATAGCCTACCTGTTTTACCAACTGATTCAAAAAAATGGGTACAAAAAATCGTTGGGTGCTTTTGCAGTGAACGTTGGGATAGGTCTATACTCAGCTTGAGGTGTTGATGAAATATCAATATATGCTATAGACTGTGTCACAACAAACTTTTGTTTGTAAGAAGATGAACACGGTTTTTCAATGCAAAGAAAATACAAACTTCTTGGTGTATTATACTTGACTTGAAATCCAACCACCTAAATCACATAAACAAATTTATAAGCATTTTTATAAGCATTCACGTATGGTATAAAGCTTATGTTATAGTGTAGCTGGAATGCAAACAAAAGTCTGTTACTCTAATTTAAACATAATTAAATGTTAATAACATATTTAATTTTTAATACGATAGACAAGGAGTAGAACTTTCAAATTTTAAGATTGAGAGATTATATTTATCAAAAAAATATATAATAATAATAATAATAATAATAATAATAATAGCTTTCTTGACTGTTAATTATAATAATAAAAAGGTAAAGCTGCATGACTAGGAAAACTGATTTTTTTAAATAAAATTTTTTTCTAGTTAAATTATATGTGGATAGGAGTTTTAGTTCTTAGTAGTGTCAGGGCTGTTCTAATTAGGTTTGTGAAAGCGCTGCAACCATCCTCAATGAAATCTGCCTACTAATTTATGTTTTTAAGTTGTTTAAAGACAACTCTTATTATTCCTTGTGTTTCTGAGAAAGACACAAGGAAGGTGGTGGAAGGAACGACACTAGGAATTTGTGGAATTTGTTGATACCTTTAGGATATCTTAGATACATTTAGGATGGTTTAGGCAGAAGATTGTCATGGTTTAGGCAGAAGATTGTCAGAAGTATTTAGTTTTTTTTTAATGTCTATTAACTGTAAATACTATTAATTGAGAAAACTGATACTGTGTTTTTGAAAACAGAGACTTGTGTGCATGCCTGCAATAAAGTATATAAAAACCTTTCTTTGTGGATTTCCAAACAATCCCGTCTTTGCATAAAGTATTTCAAAAGATACACCCATCACCATATTTTGACATTCACCATTTGATGATGATGGCTAAATATATGTAAATTATTATAACTTTTATAATAAAATTTAAAATTAAAATTATATTAAAATTTAATATATTATTATAACATAAAACTTTTCTTCAGTTACTTTTACGGCTCAGCATTCTTTGCACTTCAAAAAAAAAAAAAAAAAAAAAAAAAAAAAAACAGCTTAAAAAACAGCTTTTACTTTAAGAAATTATTTAGGTTTAGTAAAAAAAAAAATATTTAAAAAACCAACAATTATTTTTTCATTAAAAAAAAAAATTGTTAACCAAATTATAGAGCTTACTTTCGATGTAGGTTTATTATTGACAATTGCAATCCATCCAGCAGCAGTGGAACCATCTAATGAACCAAAAGAAGCAACGTGTGTTGGTAAATCTTTCAAAAGTAGATTGAAAATCTGGTCCTGCCAAATCACACAGTCATTGTCAGTCATATTTTTTTTTACACTGAAAAAAGTAAAAAAAAAAAATTAAGAATGGTCAGTGTGACCTGAGAAAACAATTCTATTTACAAATAAAATTTTCTTTGATACCTTACAAAACAAGCTGTAAGAAAATCAATGCCGAATTTTACAGGTATTCTGTTGAAAGAGGCATCCTCACACATAGAGCTGGTTGTAGGTTTTATTGTTGTAAGAACTGATAAATTTACCCTAGTTTTTAATATTTTGAATTTTATTTTATTAATGTAAAAAATTAAATTTTAATCATAAAAATATAATACAAAAATGTAAATTATATTAGTTGACTTACATTCCAGAAAAATTGTTAGGTATTAAGTAGCCAACAATAAGAGGGTAGTCAATCAAATATCCAGGGTTACCACTTCGTTCAAACAAAACAGTGGAAGAAAAACCAACATCAGAAGAAACATTTTCTTGCAAAGAAATATTGGATGCTGAGTACAAACTGGAATTTGTAGATACGCTAGAATTTGGTTGAACATTTGTACTTGCTGATTGAAATTTATATTCAAATGTCTGGAGGAATGAAGCAGAGTTTTTGGATATATTTGCTAGTGTAACGAAAACATCCACATTTATTATCTTAACAGTGATGTTTGTAGAGTAAGTAACTGCATAAGTTATCTAAATATTTTATGAAAAATATTGAAGTCATTATCATTATCATAATTGTTGTGATGGCAACAATTTTACTTAACATCAACTAATATCATTTTTGCACAAACTTTGTACTTTTTCATTACTCCCCCTCCCTTCCTAAAACTCAATTTTTATAAATATTTTATTATAAATATAAATTCAGCTCTCTATGACAGAGGAAGCAACTTCTTTCTACATGTTGAAGAATGTTGTTTCCTGCAACACCTCACCTCTAAATAAAATATATTTTAACTTGAAAAAATTGCTTCAAAAAAAATGTTTTCATCACAGGAAAATCATTCAACAGCAGTAATAGAATTATTCAAGTAATAAAACCAGGAAAAGTTTGGACTACAAGTTTTAAGTACTTCAATGACATATTTAATGACATATTTAATGACATATTTAACTCTTTCTTCTTTTTTCAATGACATATTTAATGACATATTTAACTCTTTCTTAATCTTTTAATTCTAAAACACTTTTCTATAAATCCAAAACACTCTCAAACTTGACAAATACCTCTGAGCAGACAAACATGCAGTAAAAAAGAAAAAATTGTTAAAAAACAAAGTTAATTATTTTATGCAACTAAAATTACAATAAATATTACAAAGTATATTTAATATTTACCTGAATAGGATTTTAAAAATAACAACACAATTTCTGCGGTAGCAAAGTATATCTTTATTCTTAGTGATTTCAAAAGAATTATCTGACTATTTTTTAAAAGAATAGTCAGATAATTCTTTTCTAGTCATGTGTCTACGTCATGCATGTGACTATTTTTCTAGTATATGCCTACATCATGTATTTGACTAATTTAGATCCAAAAATGAAACAGCCAAATTTAAATTAGTCTCACAAAGAGCAAGTAAGTCTGAAAAATTTTGCAAGAGGTAAGTTTCAACTGATGAAATCTTATTTTGAAGACCACAAATAAATGAAGAAAATAGATTGAAACAGTTTGGTGATGGTGAAGGTTTTTAATGAATAATTTTTTTAAGTACTTAGTTAATTTAGTTAAGTCTTATTTTAATTTACCGTAAAAATAATCCTAAAGGGAATTCGACTCATATTCAATCATAGATAGAGCATGGAATCCTAGCAACAAGCAACAGACCTAGCAACAAGCAATGCTGTTGCCTCAGGTCTACTAACCACTTTGTTACTAAAATCGTAACAAAGGGTTCCTTCTGCAGATTTGACAATGCACACTAAAAACAACTACTAAAAGGAACACCATTCATATGCAACATGACACTGTTAATAGTCTGATTTTTTATATTGCTATATTATTTTTAGCTATTGATGGAATCTTTCTCAGAGCTACCAGAGAGTTTGGGAAGCCTTACTACTTTAAGCCAGCTTCAGAATCATCAAACTGAGTTTTAAAGCTGTACCCTCATTAGGAGATAAGTGATAGAGTTGTATAGCCATTATAAAAGAGGCATAAGCAAAAATTTATGAGTTGAGTCAAGATTCTCTAGCCTTTACCAACCAATAACCCCAAGGCAGGGGTATTTTAAATTGGAGTTTATTTCTCATAGCCTTGGTTTAGAAAAATAAATCCTACAAGGCAGCAGGACATTAAGGTGTGTGACAATTTTTAGCTTAAAAATGTATAAATTATATCTAAAAAACATACCTTTGAAAGCACATTGTTGCATCCACCATCAACTTGAACACTTGGTTTGGAAATATTTGAATAAAAACAATTTTCATTGCACATAATTGGTAACTTCAAGGTTGGAGAAATGAGATTGCTTGATTGGTTCAGTCCAACACCCATTTCCATTATATAAGAAGGATACTAAATTAAAAAAAAACTGCCTTTCTTAATAACAAACTCAAACTCCCAATAAGGGATGCAGCATTTTTGGAGGCCTTAACTATATTATTACTTCTAATAAAAAGATTTGTTGTTTTGATGTTAAATAATTATAATAACTAAATTATATATATTAACTATAATAATTTTTAAGTAACAAAAAAAAAATGTTTTTAACGCCTGAAATTTTTTAATATAAAATGGAGTGAAAAGCATTTAATCTGAAATGAATCTTAAAATTTTCATATGTTTATTAGTGTAAACTATTCCTTGTTGTTGACACATCCCTCAGATTTCTTCTTTTAGAGTCTTCTTAATGGGAAATCATGTGTTGCAATTTCTAACACAATCAGATACCAGATAGTAAAAGAATTTTTGCTATTATTTAAATATATGTTTTTAGAGGCACTTGACAGCATAGGCATAGAAGGGACTAGGACTTGGGCTCCATCTGGGAATTTGTTGCTGGAGCTCAGTCCCACCCAATATAACTTATCAAGTGTTCATAAATCAATAAAAAATAAGCATTCAAAATTAATAAAAATTAAAAATCATAATATACTTAAACATGAATAAAAAGAATAATTTAAAAACAATAAAAATACCTTTTAAAAGTTTAAGCTCATTTAAAAAATTCCATTTTCAAAAATTTCACATTTTTGATGAGTCCTCATGGGAGTTTGAGATCAAATCGTTAAGAAATTTTTGAATTATTCAACAATACATTGACTTCAATGTAATAAATTGTACAGTGTAAAATGAAGAAGATTAGTGAATACTTTTCAAGAAAAGAAAAAGAAATTGAAATAGATGCATTGTGCTCTGAATCTGAAAATGGTTATAACCTCCATGAATATACTCATGAGAGTTTATCATTTGTTAAGTCTGATGATAGATTCAAATCCTGTTGTTGCGTTGCCATCTTTTTCAGAGCAGGCTGGATCTTTTTTTTCAAAACTGCCACCAATGCCCATTAAAAAAAAGGAAATAAATTTCAACAAAGCCGGAAATAAAAACAAAAAAACATGAATGAACTTTAGATGACTGCAAGAAAGACAAAGAGTTTTGTTCAACCTGCATCAAAGCAGGTTGAACAAATGCATCAAAGCTACCCATATGAAAATGTCTTTAATCAATTCTACACCTGTATCTAAAATATTTACAAGTCTTCTTTAATTTTGTTTAAAAAAAATTTAGATTAACTACCAATTATTTCATTTATTAGTTTACTAAATTTTTCTTCTTAATATAATAGGAAACGCAAGGCCTTGCAATTTGCAGAAAGGCCTAAAAAAGAGACCAAAAAAGACCTACAAGACTTTTTTCATGCCACGAAAGAACAAGTTTCGATCTGCCAAAGAACAAGTTTCGATCTGCGAAATTTTCAAAGCAAAAATACTATCAACGCGCTAAAGGAGGTGTGAAAGGAAGCCCAAAGTAATATTAGCTTCAAAGTCTTGTGGGATGCAGTCACTATAGCAGCAGAATGTAGTGTACTTGACAAGTGAAGTTCCATACTTTACTATGACTCCAGATAATCTCTACCACCAGCTTTACTATGCATCTCTGGATGATGTTATAACAAGATTTGTGACTCAATTGAAACCAACAAAGACCACTGAGCATATAGCATATGTTGAAAAATTGGTCAGTGCTCAGATGTCATTGACCAATTTTTCAACATATGCATATAGCATATGTTGAAAAATTGGTCAGTGCTCATGTCACTCACAAATCATTGGTCAGTGCTCAGATGTAGGATTCGTTGAGGCTTTTTACAAAGATGACTTTGAAGATTATAAATGGCTAAATCTGTCAATTTATGTTTGTGGAGTATTCCAAATTCAAGAATTTTCAACTAAATGATTTTGAATCAGTTTTGAGCTAGCTGGTAGACCATGATGGGAAAGGACATTTCTCAATTAATTTTACTGAGTTTTTGAAGTTGGTGAAGATTTTACTATGTATGAAGACAAGAAAAAGAAAGAGCATAGTATAAGCTAAGCTTTTGAAGGCTTAAGACCTATTTTTGTTCTACAATGTCTCAAGAGCTATTGTATTGTCTTGTTCTTTTGAATTTCCATCACAATGTTGCCACAACTTTAGATCTTGATCCTTTGATCGACAAGTATGTAATGCGTGCCTCCTCACGCTTGGATACATTTACTTGATGAAATGAATTTGTTTTTGTCTACTGAAAAAGCTAGTTATGTCTTATTGTAGATTTTCAACTTCCAGCAAATAGTTTGAGCCCCGTCGGGAAGGAATAAAACCCTACGCCTATGCTTGACAAATTAGGAAAACATGCCTTAGGATAAAGAGGAAAGGCAACAATTACAGAAGTATGCTTGCTGATTGAATATATAAGGACATTTCTTATCATTAACCATCATTTGTTATGACATAATACTTCAAAAATCAACACAATGACATAATAATTTAAAACCAAGTAGGCTTCTTTAGTCTACGACAATTTCTCTGGATAGAAATTGTAATAATAAATAATATTTTATGAATAATAAATATAAATATATGGCAGAACTTGTCAAATGAGATGTAAATAATTAAATTTTTTTGTTTCCGAAATAAAAATAATAAAAACTACAGAAAATGCCTCTATTTTTATGCATTTAAATAGTACTCATTTAAATGTCTATAACAAAAATATTAAAGTAATTATGTATTACCATTATAACAGCAATGATGTTGAAGTAATATATAAACACATGTCAAGGTAATACATAAACACATGGCGAAGTGTCATTATTACTAATGAGGTAATGCTTCAACTACTTTACTACTTTAACTGTCCTGGTAACTAGTTTAACTGCCCTGGTAACTACTTTACATAAACACTATTGAAGTAATGTGTCATTCTTATTGAGGTAATGCTTTAACTTCTTTACTATTTTATGTGTCCTGGTAACTACTTTAACATCATTAGTATTAAGAAGATATAAGGCATTTTTTCTTTATCATTACTTCAATAAATGAGATAATACTATTTATATAAAACATATCAAGAAGTAAATGAAGAATTAATGTGTGCATCCAAACAGTTAAATAAATAAAACTTTTAAATTAACAACATACAGGGGCTACTTGAAAACCATATACAAAGTTTATTCCATTCCAATTTACATCATTCAAACATTGATTTTTGATATCTTTAACTTGTTGGACACAAGTTGACTTATTTGAATTAAGAAACCCTAAAACATATTTTTTAATATTAAGTCAAAATTATCAGTAAACATTTCAAAACTTCTAATCATTTATAATGAACAAAATAACATTACAAACAAATGTTAAAAATTAAAAGCTGATTTTCCTATTAAAACAGATTAAATAGTAAGTCTCAACAAGCCACCAGTCAAACTCATCTGGTTTACATAAAATAAGTCTTAACAAGCCACCAGTCAAACTCATCTGGTTTACATAAAATAAGTCTTAACAACCCACCAGTCAAACTTATCTGGTTTACACAAAATATAAATAAGAGTGAGGTATTTAAAGCAACCACATCTATTGTAGGGACACTTGACATTAAAAAATGCAAATTTAAATTAAAAAAAAAATCTTACTTGCAGCATTGGTTAAAGAACAAAATTCACCATGAAGAGGTTGTGCAAGAAAACCTTTGATATTGCTTGAATATAAGATAAAAAGTGGATCTCCAAACTAAAGAAAATAAAAATATATAGAAATTATTTAACACTTAAACTGTTAAGCCTAACTTTATTAAAGAACTTTTTTTTCAAATATTTTAAACTAAAAAGCTTTATAAATAGCAGATAATTTCTACAACCTCCTAATTATGTTAACTACGTTAATTATGCTAAACTGATGTAATAACCAATAATAAAACCAAAAGAATTTTTTAAAAATTTGGAAACAAAAGAATTAAGATGAAATGTTTTTTTTACATTTTTTCAAGACAAAAATTAATTTTGATATCCACATTTCTGGTTTAATAAATGAAAAAGCAACATTAATAAATAAAACATGCATAAAGATATGAACATGCAAATATAAACGATATAAAATAAAATATAATAAATAAAACAAATATAAAATAAATAAAAGAAGTATGAACATGCAAATATAAACATGCAAGTATGAACATGCTATAATGAGAACTAATCTGTTTCAATAATTTGTACCTGTAATATATGTTCCTATAACTTGTTTCAGTAAAGTGTTCAAGTAATGTTGTAGTAACTTCTTTAAATTGGATAAGTGTTGCAGTAAATTCAGGTCAAATTATGATTAGGATCATCATGATCTCAACCCTCTCCTGGATCTAATCTAGTACAACCTGCCTCATTTCCTGCTGCTTTGTAAGATTCACTTTTTTTTAGGCAAAGGCTGGGAAAAATTTTGTGATAAAAAAAAGTGTGATATAAGTATGTATTGTTGAGTCTACATAAGGAGCCTTTTGCATCATGCGCTTTAATATCAATTCACCTATCAGTCAAAAAATCAAGTTTTTTAAACCTTTTTGTTTTTTATCAATCCTTTCCAAAACTACACTCCTTTCAATGGGCTTGGTTAACTTAATCATTTCTGATCAAGTTTACCAAGCTCTTTCTATTAGACAATATTGTTAATGGTAACTTTAATGCTCATTTTATTGACTGGCTCTAGTAACACTCTGCTAGCTTTTAAATTTAATTTTTTGTAATATTCAATCTCTTACAACTACCTAAAGCTATAAAACTCTATGTTAAAATACAACTACTGAATAGAATTATTTTTACAATTTTTTTCATGATGGTCATTGAGCTGATGCCTTTTGTCTCTTTGTTAAAAATAATACTTTCTTTATAACCCTCTGGATTCAGGCAGACATAGAAGCATTTATTTCATCTTGTCAGTTTCAAATCTCACAAATTGTTAACAATGTCAATAAAAAAAAGGCAAGTTTAACATTCCATTTTTATAGGTAAGTCTTACCCATGTATGTTATCATGACAGCACCTTATGTTAAAGTTATTTCTCATTTAAACTCTACATTATGTGAGCCAAATAACACAACAGTTACAGTCTTACAGAAAAAGTATATTATGCATTAAACTGATGTGGTGAGGCTCTTGTCTTACCACACCTAAAAGATGCCTCACCACATTTATAAGCTTTTAATAATCCCTGGCAAGGCCGGCGCGATAGGGGGGTGTGACACCCCTCCCCCCCCCCCATCAATGATTTTTAGTCGGCAAACTGGACCCTTAGTCAGCAAATTGGACCCTTTTAGACTAGTTGACCCTTTTTATAGGTTAGACAATCTGCAAATGTTGTCATGACAGTCGGCAAATTTTGGAAAACGAGGACCTTTTTTTTTTTTTTTTTTAGTCGGCATAATGGTAATGGCACCCCCCCACGTGACACCTACTCGCGTGGTTTTTAAAATTTTTAAAATTATTGAACTATCACTTTGGAAGTGCAATATTTTACTTCAAAAGTGGTTCTATTTGCTGAAGAAAAAAAAATTATTTTGATATTTATCTTTTCAAATCTGAATTAATCAGAGAATTCTTATATATATATATATATATCCTTATAGCAACATGCACAGAGTGTTACTACATCGACTATCTTATAGCCTGCTGCTACAAGGGAGTATTGCTACATCGGCTATCTTATAGCCTGATTCGAAACGGAGTACTGCTACTTCGACTGAGAAATAGCCTGACTCGCAAGGGAGTGCTGCTACATCGACTGAGGGTTTGGTTTGGGCAGGCAGGCAGTCTATCATTTAATAAAAAAATTTTTTTTTTCTTAATTGATCGCTCTTTAAAACTACAGTTTATGGGAAAAACTTTCTGACTACCATGCAAGAGCCCATATATATATATATATATATATATATATATATATATATATATATATATATATATATATATATATATATATATATATATATATATATATATATATATATATATGGAGAATTCTGCGAGAAAAAGAAAAAAAAAAAACACACACTAAACTCCGTAACTCTTTTTTTGACTACTTAAAAATACTTTAAGGCAAAAAAGTTATTAAAAAAATCATTTTATCATGTCATAGCATAATTCTAAAGTTGTAAGGGTTGTATAATTTTTTTTTTTTCATAAGCTTGTGAGCAAAACTTATTATGGGTGTAATTATCTTAAACAAACAAAATAATTATCTTAAACAAACAACAATATAAACAATGAATAATATAAGCGATACAATATATGATCAAAAAAGCTCTATATAACTTTTACATACTAAATTATTTACAGTACTGTAGTGTAGCATTAAAAATCGTATCATATATCCATAATTAAGGACTTTGATAATGTTATAGTGCATTTAAAAAAAATGATATACATGGTTGTTAAAAATCATTTATACTTTTTTCTTACATAATTGATTGCGTCATTTTATTTTTTATTTTTTAGCATTGGATTTTTTGTTACAACCGTCACAACAGAAAAAACATAAAAATGCTTGTAAAACTTAAAAAACATAAAAATGCTTGAAACTTATATAATAACATCAATATGTGCTTAATACACATCAAATGATTTTTTTTATCATGCCACTCACTGCATTTATTCTGACAAAGTTGATTTGTTCAGAAGTGGTAAAAAGTAAGCGTTACAACTGTAACGCTATGTAGAGTTAATCTTTGAAATAAGTTGAAGACTTTAATGCTGTAACTTTTACATACTAAATTATATGATAGTATTTCACATTTCTGGAAAGTTTCTAGTCATTTCCACTTTGGTTTCATTTTTAATAGCTTAAAAGTCTATATATATATATATATATATATATATATATATATATATATATATATACATTACAATTATTATTATTTATTAAAAGTGTGTATATATATATATATATATATATATATATATATATATATATATATACATTACAATTATTGAAGAAGTCAGTAGTAAAGTCTAAAAACCAGTATATATCCTGAAATCATTATGAATTAACAGTTCTGTAAATACAAAGAGAGCAGTAAGTATTGTTATTCTATATAGATTTGAAATTTTGATTTGTATTAAAAATGATGCCGGTATTTTATGCTTGTTAATGAAACTAAAAATCTCCAGAAAGATCTTAAAGTTATTCTTGATGAAATAGGGTACAAAAATGTTGAAGAAGTTACTGAAAAAGCTCGCGAAATAATGTTTCTGAAATCAAAAGAGAGATTATTTAAAAAGTTTAAAATTCTTCAAAACGACTTTGAAAATAATCACAGTAATAAAATCTGTTAACAACAAAGAAAGCTGTTTAAAACTTATGCGATGTCGATATTCCAAAAAAACAAAACGATCTTCTTAATCTTGGTCCGCATTTTGTACCTTGGTTGAAATATATACCTTATATGAATATTATTGCAACAACAGAGACCTCGGCTTTAAAATTGGCAACAAGATTGAAAATGCACAGGATTTGAGAAAAAATATTTTAAAAGAACTTAAAATCGGTAAAAAATAAATCAAAATTTAACAAGAGAGCAAAGAAAGGCTCTTATGGAAATTAAGGAAAATAAAATTATCGATATATATCCGTTTGATAAGGGTAATGGTTTTGTAAGAATAGAACCCGATAAAGCTTTGGTAAAAATTTGCAAACAAATTGGCCCAACAAGAGTTTTAAATGAAGATCTCACATCTAGTTATGCTATAAAAATTAAGACTTATCTCTCACAACTTAATAAAAAATAGCAATTTTAAAAAACAGAATATGATAGTGATCCCATACCGCTTCGCATGTCTATCCTATGAGAATAGTTGTATCAACTATAAGCACTCCTAATTACGGAATATCGAACTACTTAGTAAAGAAAATACACCCTGTCTTAAACAAAAACCAAACACGTCTGAAAAATTATTTTGATTTTATTAATAAAGCGAATTCATGGGAGATTGACATAAATGAGGTTCAAGTTTCATTGGATATAATAAACTTGTATCTATCAATACCACTAAAGGAAGCCACTTTGATTCTTATAGACCAATTAAATAAAGATGATTCCTACAAATATTCCATTAAGTATTCCATTAAACTTACTATATCTGAAACAAGACAACTCATAGAGCTTTGTTTACACCGTTGTTATTTCCTGTGGAACAGCGAAATCCATGAACTTGAGAATTCTGGTCCTATAGGTCTTTTATTTATGGTCGTACTTGCAGAACCATTTTTATAACATCATGAACAAAACACTTTTAAAATTGTAATGGCAGTAAATCCTCCTCTTGAACTAAAATCCTATCTAAGATATGTCAATGATAGTCATACTAGACAACACTCAAGAAGCAGAACAATTCCTAATTATCTTAAACAAACAACAATATAAACAATGAATAATATAAGCAATACAATATATGATCAAAACTGAAACTGAAAACTCTAAACTTCCTTGATTCAACCATAATAAATAACAACAAAGGAAAACACGAGTTTAAAGTTTACAGAAAGGAAGCCATTACTAATATCCAAATTAAACCTCACTCAAATCATGAACCAAAGATTTTAAATGCAATATTTAAAGGTTATGTTCATAGGGCTTATTCTTTATGCAGTAATTTATATTTACAAGATGAGATTGATTTCCTTATTCAAATATTTAACAAAAATGGGTACAACAAATGCCAACTTAAACGGATTGCAAACTTAATTAGAAATAAATAGTCTCTAAAAATCAACAAAATTCAATCAGACTCTCTTAACATCCCTACTGTATTATTACCGTGGATACCATCACTATCCCCAAATCTAAGGAAAATATTTCAGAAAGCTGGCTATAGAGTAATCTTCAAATTAAATCCATTACTAACGTCAAAAAACAAAACTAAATTAGCACATAATAGTCAACCTGGAACTTATTTGATTAAATGCAAATGCTCAAAGAGATACATAAGCGAAACTAAACTTCAAATTAGAACTCGAATTTAACAACATCTAAAAAGTTTAAATGAGGGGAAACATTATCAATCTGCAATAGCCACCCATAATAAGTTTTGCTCACAAGAAATAAAGTGGGAAAACGTAAAAACAATTAAAATTAAAACAAAAAAATTTGATTGAAAAGTGTGAGAAGCTCTTGAAAAGCTTATGAAAAAAAAAAAAAAAAAGAAAAAAACAATAAAAAAGTTTTGATATTTCTCAAAGAGTCAGCGCATAAAGTATCTCATTAAAATAAGCCTCTTTTTTTAAGTAAAAACCAAAATTCTAATTTAATATAAATATTACTCACCTTAAATGAACTTTGGTAATTATTAATTATCTGGTCACCAGAGCTGTATGTGGTTTTTTGATATTTGTTAACAAGTGCATTGATTATGTTGGCATTGCTTCCAATAGATATATCTGGATACAAATTTCTCTCTTGATCTAAAAATAAAATTTTCAAAAACTATGATTTCTCCAAAACTTTGTGCTTGTTCATAATACAAGTAAAAGATTCAAAATTGAAAATTTACAATGCACTTTGTGCAAATTTCAAACTGCCGTAAAACAGCTCTAAATTTCAGTTTAATGATGATTTTGAACTAGCAGTTAGTAAAGTTTAAGAAACTTTTATAACTTATTTGAACTAACTTTTTTTTCTTGCCTCTGCAAAGCTACTTCAATTAAATAGGCTACTCTTTTTTTTATTAATTTTTGTTACCTCTATTAATCGTATGGCTATGAAACACAAACTTTGATAAACAAGTTGGCTGCTCAAGTTTTTATTCTTTATCTATTTAATAATACTGAACTTAATAGTAGTAGTAGTGCACTTTCAAGCATGTTTGACACAGTACCCTTGACAGCCATTGCAAGCGAAGTAATGGCGAGAAAGAGTTACAGCAGCTTTGTTTTATGAACGAACATGTATCCAAATATCTAATATATGTAAACTTAAAATTAAGTAATGTTAAAACATGTTAAAACATTTATCAAGTTTTACAGTTTGATTTTAACTTAAAAACTGCATTGGGACAAGCTCTCCTTAATTTTGATCTATAACGTTTTTTCCCTTAAAAAAGTCATTGTATTGTTTTAAAAATATTCGCTTGAGAATGTGCCAGTGTGGCCAAGTGGATAAGCTGAGCTTCGGAACAAGTAAGCTGATGTTTGTTTCCTACCACTGGCAACTTTTTCTTTTTTTAATTTTTTTCGATTATTTTAAAATACAAAATACTTTTGAAGTTTTAAAGAAATTATATACAAACAAATGTAACAATATTATACACTTTTACAAAAGAAAAGATTTTAAGAAAGCTAAAATTTCATAAAACATAAAAAAAAAAATCACCGGGAGAAAAAATTTGTTGCGTATGTGTCATGATTGAGATACTTATGTTATTAATGTGCTCAGGTAATTACTCCTAATAAGCTGCAGATGGTCTGAAAAAAATTGTCTGAAACTTAATAAAGAAAAAACTTAATAAGAAAGTCCTGCTACTCAAGAAGGTGTTGCTGTGGAGCCAAAAAAAGCCTGTAGCTAGATAAAACTTTAAAACTTTCTTTTGAGAATTTAAAAAGTTTATTTTGCTACATTTACTTTTTTACTACAAATATATACTGCAGCTATTTTTCAAAACATCTTGATATGATTATTACGTATTTCAAGAAAAACGCAATTAAAAAAAATATTGTTAGGAGAAACTCTTTGTAAAACGCTTTTTGAAATAAATAATTTTTATGAACTTTTTCAGATCTCTTTAAAACTATGTATTCAATAACGTTTGTAGACGTCTAAATTAGCTTATTTTGTAAAAAATTTAAATTGGTTTATTGTTATTTGCTTATATATATATTGTTATTTGCTTATATATATATTGTTTATAAAATGTAAAAAATCCACTTATACAACATTTTATTCAGGATCGTATGTAATATAAGTAAACTTTTCTAATAATTAATAATCTTTTTTGCTTTTTTGTAGGTATGTTATTATATTTTAAAAAATTGACAAGATTGAAAAAGCACAAAACATAGGGTTCCCATTCTCCTTCTTTTTCTGTAGGAGAGTGCGGCACTAAACTAATTAAAATTGAAGTTTTAATTAGTTTAGTGCCGCACTCTCCTACGTCAACTGATTCTTAGACCATTAAAAATGATAGTCAAGGTTTTTTCGTAAACCGTTGAAGTTACAATTTTTTTGCATATGTGATGTCACTTTGTGGCAAAAAACTAGAAAAACAAACTAGAAAAAAGGTTTTATTTAAATTTTTTTAAAAAAAACTTCTTCTATTAAAGATATATGGAATATATTTTCATAGGATACATTCTAGTAAAGACAAAAAAATTTATTTATTACTACTGTAAAAAAATACAATCTCTTATCCCTGAAATGATATACCTGTAACAGTTTTATATATTTTTATGCATTTGTATTAAACAAAATTAAAATTAATCAAAAAATGTAAGATAAATGCAAAAGAAACTTGACGCATAAAGGTTTACTTTGCCACAAACCAACATCAATGCGCAAAATTTTTTTCGCTTAATTTTAAGATCAGCTTTTAATATTATTCTTTAGTTTGTAATTATAATCAAAAGAATGAATTTTTTTTATGACTATGTTTTAGTAGTCTAAGATCTTCTTAGTTCCATTTGTACAGCGTTACGTACAAACGTCTGTAAGTGTAAGCGCCTTTAGCATATGTTGAATTTGCAGGCATTATATGGCATAAGCGCGTATAATATATCTATAAAATAAGAAAACTATAAAAATTTATTTTAAATTTTAGAAATCTTTTTGTTATATTATTACTTTTTTGCTATAAATATATATATGCAAGATTAAAAAAATTTCAAAATTTATTACACAAAGAGGTCTTAACCCCCTCCCCCCCAAAAAAAAACAACAACACTTAACCATTGAGCTATCAATGAAATGCATTAAGCAGAAAAACAAACCTAATTATAAGTCTCTTATAAGCTCTACATATGCAGCAAAGTTGCACATGTTAATTTTTTTTGTTCTTAAAGATTCTTTTTTAGAACAAAATTATTTTACTAAAAAGTATTGAAGTAAATTAGAGGTGTACCAGATATTTTTGTCAGATATGCCAGATAGTGAACTTTTTTAAGATTCTATAAGTGTTTATAATAAAAATTTTTTTTTTGCTTGTCTACAATAAATAGTATTCAAGATCTTACTTAAAAAAATTTGTGAAAAACTGTATGACATGACATATGTGCTGAAAAAGTATAAAAAATGGTAACTAAAAAAAACAAAAATTTGGCTAAAAAAACGATTTTTCTTTATACATTATTAACGGATATACCTGTGTTATACCAGTTTTTTATTGATTTTGTTTTTTTAAATCTTGAACACTATTTAATGTAGAATGGCAAAACTTGTTTTTACTTTATAAACACTTATAGAACTTGAGAAAAGTTCAATATCCAGCAAATCCGACAAAAATATTTGGTATACCTCTGAAGTAAATAAGGAATAGATATAGAGATAACTGGGGTGGAATAGGTATGTATAAAAATAGTAGGTTTGGTAAAGACCCGTAGTTTATGGATCCGGAAAGCTAGGATAAATAAGGAAAAAGTATAAAAAAGTTTGGTTCGGAATAGACTTACAAAAACCCATTACATAATTTATGTATCAAAATTTACATAATTTATGTAACAAAGTTTACATCATTTATGTTACAAAATTTACATAACTTGCATAGCAATTTATTCTTATGCAACTTGTAATTCAGTTCACATCTTTTCTACAGTGATTGTCCATATGCTCAAAAAACCTTGGAGCACATGAACAAAAGAAACAGCTACTAACACAAAGTTTTTGTAAATGGCAAAAATCAGTTTGTAAAATTGTAATTCACTTCAAATAATTTTCTGACCATCAGATATAAATTTAATATATATAATATAGATTTGATTTTATAATATAGATTTGAAAGAGCAGGACTTTCTTTTTTATTGATTTGTCAATAATAACAATAATTTTGCATTTCTTTTTTGTACAACTACAAGTGCTGCAGCTGCTATGTTTTTCTTCATTTTTTTACAAGTGCTGCAGCTGCTATGTTATTCTTCATTTTTTTACAAGTGCTGCAGCTGCTATTTATTCTTCATTTTCTTACAAGTGCTGCAGCTGCTATGTTATTCTTCATTTTTTTACAAGTGCTGCAGCTGCTATGTAATTCTTCATTTTTTTACAAGTTGCATTAATTTACATGCTCATTTATTTAACTTTTTTCTGAAAATTTTAGAGCTCTGAAAATTACTCATTTTGTTGAGCTTTCCTGATTTTAATTTAGTAAAATCTTTTTAGCAAGAGAGACTAATCTAGTTTGGTTTCTGATGAATTTTTTTATAGACTTTCATTTATTACAATTTATAATAAATAAAACACAGCCATCAACCATTATCTAATTAAATTAATAAAATTAAAAAATCATTTTTTTTTTCTGATTTTATACTTACAATTGTCTCGATATATACAAAATAAGCCTCCACCATTACCACGAGCTTCATATTGTCCATTTACAAACAAAAGCAATGTATCCGAAACACATACTTCTCTCAATTGGCTGAAGTAAAAAAAAATATTTTTGATCAAAATTTTTTGAACATAAAAATTTAATGTTATATAAAAAAAAATAAACTAAATATTCATTTTTATAAAAGTTGTATTTGTAAATTTAAATTTTATAAATTATATTAAATCAAACTAAAAAATTTTTCAACTTATTTTCAAATATATTAAATTACAAACCTTCAGATATATAAAATTACACAGGCCAACAACAACAACAAAATTTTTTGTTTCCTAGCAAACAATACGTCTTTCATTTTTAATTAAAATATGCAACCCATTTTTCAATATCACATCAAGTTTTAAAGGGTTCAAATCATTAGTATAAGGGGCAAAATCTCTAATTATGTCAACAACAAAAAATATTTAAAAGATTTCAATCTGGGTCTAAAAAGAAGCAAATTTTCATAGAGGTTTTAGAAAAAATAAACTTAAAATTAATTGACAAAAAAATATTGCAAAAAAATGCTAAAGACTTCTAAAACAATTACAAAATAAACAAAATGTTTCTTAGCAATAATTTAAAAAATATTTACCTTTATCACAAAGAAAAATTATTTTAAAAATCTTTTTGAAAATACGCTTCTTTTGGGACTCAGGTTGACATACTTATGAATACTTTTTTGTAATAATATTAGATATTTTACCTCAAAAAAAAAAAAAAAAAAAAAAAAAAAACTATACTCTCTAATCTTAGTCATTTGACCCAAAAAGTTTTAAAACTGTATTTAAAGTTTTAAGACTATATTTAAAGTTTTAGACTATATTTTAGTTTTACATTGCATAAACAGACTAGTTTTACTTTACCTTTTATTTCCAGCTAAATAATATTGAACAAAATGGGCAAAGTTAAAAGAAAAATATATAGTTATTCTACCAATACAAAGAAAACTTGTTACCTCCTGAAATATCCCATTAATGAGAGCTTCATACTATTGGAAACAGTTTAAGGTTCTAATACTTTGAACCTTAAACTGTTTCCAATAGAAATACTGACAACTTAATACCTTTTAAAACTTGACTATATAAATTCATTCTATTTAATTTTAACTTATCTAACTCAAATTTAAATTAATCAAAGTTACTTTTAAAAAATACATAATTTAACTATTTTTTTCCAGGTACTACTTATATCTGCAATCAGACAAAAGCTATAAATTCAAGCCCTGAAAATGTGGGTTGTCCTCAGGAAAACGGTGAATTTGATCTTGTTTGCCAAGACAACAATTGTGACAGGGAGGATGGAAATAACTGTGTGGTGAAAGAAGTTCAGAGAGTTTGGAAGAGAGTAGGATTTGGAGGTGCAATTCAGACTGGTTCAGTCATTAGGTTATTTTATGTTATATTTTTTTTTAATATTTTGTTTCTATGTAATATTCATCATTTAAACTAGGGTTGTTAACTGGAGGATTTCGTACAATTCCGGAAAAACAACATTCTTTCGTAAGGAGATTGTGAACTAGGAATTACATTTTTTCGTATCGAATAATACAAAACATTTAAAATCACCGATGTTCATTTCACAAAAGCCACTTCCGAAATTTAGCATTTTGCAAGTTGACATACGAAACAAAACTATTTTGCAACATACGAAAGTAGCGGTTTCAGAAGTCGCACTTGCAAAACAAACATTGTCGCCAAACGACGTTTTGAAATCTATAAAGAAAATTTGTTTGCCAGACTGATTTTAATTGTAAAAATTAACATCTTTAAATCCCAAAATGTTTATAATGAATTTTTATTTTCAGTATAATAACATTAAATTTTTATGGTTTTATTTTTAGAAATATTGATAAAAAATAAAATTTCTTTCGAAACGAAAGTATTTCGGATCACAACTTACAAAAGAATTCTTAACGGAATTAAACTTACGAAACGTGCCATAATAATATATATAATAATATATATAATAATATATAATAATATATATAACATAATAATATACATAATAATATATATAACGATGTTTTTTGAACTCATTACGTATATTAAAAATAAGAATGATGGGTAGGAATATACATGTTGTTTTTTTTAAAGCATATGAAATTTTTGAAACAGGTTCGAATATGCTTAAGCAAATAGTAAAAAGAGGCTCAAAAATATGCTTTAGCTTAAGCATATTTTTGATAAAATATACCTATTTCAATAATTTCTAAAAGTGTGCACGTTACTAAAGTTTTAGCAGATTTTAAAGGTATGTAGAGTCCTGTTTGAATACGCTTTTCGAAGTATAGATCTTAGAAAATATTGTTTTTTAATTTTAATAAGATATAAATTTAAGTATAAGATCGTATAGTTCAATCAGTTAGATACGTGATAATTCGCCGCAGAGATCCGGGTTCGCATCCCGCAGCCATTGTAACTTTTGTTCATCAAACTCTTTTTACTTAAGATAGCATTTTTTGACCTCCATGTTCTATATTACAGATCTTTCGTCACCTTCATAATAGTGACAACCTCTCTTCTGTTAGTTATTCTTTTAAGATTGAGTTCATTGTGCTTAATTCTACATGTTTCCCTTGCTTTACTAAGTTCTACTTAAATTATGATGAAATGTACGTAAAACAACTTTTTCAAATAATATAAATCATTTTGCTTTAAATCTTGTGTTTTTTGTACTAGACATCTGTCCTAAACACTTTGTAATAATTTCTAGCTAACTCTGAGTCTAATATAATCATTTCTGAATATAATTTCCCTGAGACTCCTACAGCCTATTGTGCTCCGTTAAAAGTAACTAGTTTTCGAGTCCAGATATTAATTATAAGCAACTAAAGGTTCACATTACTATTCATTTTCCTGATATATAGAATCCTATTTGCATACGTATCTCTTTCTGTAAATTCTGTTTTATATAGTTTCTTAATTATATAATAAATAAATATTACTATTCACCTAGTTAAATGAACGTATAGCTCTTAACGGGATTTTACTGTATATATATGTATATATATATATATATATATATATATATATATATATATATATATATATATATATATATATATATATATATATATTAGGTATATTTGTATAAACATTTGAAGAATCATTTGACAACATTTTTTTATAATTTTATTATTTATTATTTAAACTGTTAACAGTTAATATCTTAAATATATCGTAACATAAAATCTTTTGCGTCTTTTTCGTAACTGAACATTCCGGAATGCTTTTTCTGTAAGGAACTATTTCGTAAGTATTCTTACGAAATGATTTGTTTCGCAAGTTTTCTTTTGCAATGCTTTATTACGGAATTTTATTTATATTTTCGTATAGCGCGTTACGGAATGTGCATTTTTGCATGTGCAACTTCCGCAATAACAATTCTATTACGGTAGATAAAGATGCGAAATTTTCGCAAGTTTTGTTTTTCGGCGAACAACCCTAATTTAAACATTTTATGTTTTTCATAATTTGAACCCCTAAAAAGCAGTTCTCATTTTTTAGAAAAAAGCTTTGCATATAAACTTGCTTCGAGTGACAAAAATTGGATCAAAGAAAAAAGCACAATCAAATTATAATTTATTTTTAGAAGAATTTGATTTGCTTTTGGACATATCCAGATCAGATTTCAAGCAGAGAATAAGCCAGGGTAGAGATCATGAAAAAGTTCAAGAAGACTTAACCTTCCTGGAGGATCAGAGAAGAGAGAAAAAGATGATTATTTTAGGGGAAGACAAGGACTACTTGAAAAAAGTGATAAATTATTTTGCAAGTAGAACAAGTTTTTATTTATTTTGCTGTTTTTTTAACCATTTTCTTTTTATTTAGATTGAAATGAAGCTTGCAAAATTAGATCAGATTGAAAGACAAAAAGAGAAAAAGAAAAAGAGAGTTCAGAAAAACAATTCTTTGTTACAGAGGAAACTGAGGTTTCTGAAAATGAAGATATAACATCTGAGCATTCAGTTTCTGAATAGGACTCAGATATCTCAGAGTCTAACCATATTTCTTTTAGACAGAAAAACAACAAGATTCTCATAGAGCTTAGTGCTGAAAAACTTATTGAAGCAACATACGCTTGTGCTACAAGATACAACATCAGTCATTACAATATGCTAACTAGTATCTTTAATGCTGACAATGTTGATATTGATAATGTTAATATCTCTCTATCAACTCTTCATAGAAGCCGATATGTTAGCATTGAGAAACAGGGTGATTTTATTAGAAATGAGATCATAGACAAATTAAAAGGTAAAAGATTAATGTTACACATTGACACTAAACTTGTGAAGCAAATTTGTGAGCAGAAGAATATCTCTGTTTCAAATGATTCAGAAGACATTCTCTTAGGTGACAATGTAATTGTTATTATTTAAAGAAATTCATTTTTTATCAAATGAAAAACATTTTTTAAAGACTATTAAGTTTTTAATTTTTTTTTTGCTATCAATTTTTTTTTTTTTTTGCTAAGTTTGACACAGGATACTGCCCAAGTCGCGAAGGATGCTGAAGAACTATTACATTCACAAATATACAAAAATTAAAACCCACAAACCTGAAACAAAAACAAAAGGTCTTGTCACCAAGAACTGTTAAAATAAAAACTGTTTAATAATTGCTAATTTGTAAGACAATTTACATTATCATTTTTTTATTTTTTTTTTATTTGCATTCACTCCCAACAAGGCTGCAAGCAACCACTATTAAGTTGGGAGTTACTAGGAAAAAAAAAAGAACAGAGTTATAGAGCAAGGAAACGGTTGACAGAAGACTTGAAAAGTTGAAGGTTGTATGAGTCAGGAAAACATGAAGATGGGAGAGAGCTCCAAAGGATTGAAGTGCGGGGAAAAAAACTAGATGAATAAAAGTTTTTAGAGCATGCAGGGACAGATACAGTAAACGAATGAGACTTAGCTGAATGACGAGTAAAACGAGAATGAATTTTAGTTGATGGAACTAGAGATGATAACTCCTTTGAGCAGTGACCATGATAGTATCTGTAGAAAAGAGAAAGAGATGCAACTTTACGACGATGGGAAAGAGGTT